AGTGGCCAGTAGCCTCCACAGCACCCCCTATATTATTCCTACAATTATATCTCAGTGATACATTATCCAATCGGAACCAGATTTATTGTGCGTCATCAGTGAGCATGTCTAGACACATTGATGTTGTGGTTTAACATATGACTCAAATGCACCCCCTAGCTTATTCCAACAGTTATATCTCATTGATACATCATCCAATCTGCACCAGATTTATTGTACATCATCAGTGAGCATTTCTAGACACATTGCTATTGTTGTTTAACATTGGACTCCAGTGCGCCCCTTAGATTATTCCAACAGTTATATCTAGGTGATACATCATCCGATCTGAACCAGATTTTTTGTGCTTAATCAGTGAGCACTTCTATATACGTTGGTATTCTTCTTTTACATTTGACTCGAGTGCACCCCTAGATTATTCCAAAAGTTATATCTCAGTGATACATCATCCAATCTGAACCAGATTTGTTGGCATAATCAGTGAGCACTTGGATACACATTGGTAATGTTCTTTAACACTTGACTCCAGTGCACCTCTAGATTATTCCAACAGTTATATCTCAGTGAAATATCATACATGTGCCAGATTTTTTGTGCGTGATCAGTGAGTACTTAGACACAGTATCGTTGTTCAACTTGTGATTCCAGTGCACCCCCTAGATTATTCCAACAGTTATGTCAGTGATACATCATCTCATCTGCACCAGATTTTTTTTTGTTTCATCAGTGAGCACTTTGCAACACATTGGTATTGTTGCTTCATGACATCACTTCAGCCCCATCCACTCAGAGGAGAAACTGTCGATTATTGGGCGACTCTTCCAGCTTAGCCCTGTGTAAGATGTGACTGAAACTGTAACTGTCGATTACCACACATGTTGAAAAGCATAAAGGAAGTGCTCGTCAAACATTTGCAACAAAACAGGAAGTCACAATTACTCCTGTCTGGAAGGTTGGGTTTCATGTATACTTGTAAGACCTGGAGCTGGACAAGGACATGGACAGAAGGCGATGTCAAAGATTCAGGAAATGTGCCTTGTGTTGAAGAGATTGCGAGATTGGCACAAGGGCGTTCGTGATGCTAACTGGGTGGAGTGGCTGGAGCTTGCGCGGTCGCCGTATGGCTGGAGCGGCGCTTTGCTGTGAGGGCCTTCAGTGCTGCTTGCAGCTTTAATAGAAATTTGTTTCGAATACATTTTAAAACAGAATATTCATTTGTGCTTCCTGTCCTGCACTGGAAGATCTCTCCTCGTTTACCGTACCCAAAAACTTTTTTTACTTTGTACACACTTTATTTTAAAACCTCTCAATCCTTGGAGGGGCTTTAACACAGGAACTTTCTTCGTAAGGTTTTTTTCCAAGGTCGTATCCATTTTTAAAATGATTTGCAAGATTTTGGAAAACAAAAAACAGATGTTAACAGATGTTTTTCTCCAGCTTTTTTTTTTTTACCTTCTTCCTTCAAGAAAAACTGCAGGACTGTGTACCAACACAGAGGTGTTTCTTTGAACTACCAAAAAATCCCCAAGAAATTAAGTAATGACTGCATGTAAGAACAATTTATACCTGGTATACATGTCTTCTGAAGGCTTTGTCGTTACATCATTATGTATGTTACTATGTGACCTTTGATGGTGGGTGACGTTACGTCGTTGTTGAGCCATGACATCAAGTAAACCAAGTCTCGCAAGAACTCAACGTTCAGTAAGGTAACAATCAGCTTTCGTTATAAAGTTCGTAGGTTTAATCTCCGTCTCGTTTGTTTTTTAAAGGACCACCATAATGTGCCTTAAAAAAAAAAACTACCATGTTGCGTTTTGAAAAAAACAAAAACAAAACAAACAAAAAAAAAGACATTTTAGTTTTTTTGCATGATTTAGTAAAAAAAAAAAAATTCTTCACCGACACTAATGCGTAGCCTCTGCTTGGTTTTGACGCCAGACACATGGGACACTTTGCTGTGGTTGGAGTAAAGCCAAGCAATCTGATTGGTCGGCAGATGGATAGGCGGAGTCATAAATGAGTGACTATTAGGGAGCTGGCTTTTTCCTAACTTGTTTTAAAATAGTATGTTATATTCTTATAGAAATTTTGCAGAAACTATTTCTCCAATTCTCAGTTATGGTTTTAATTTTCAGTCTTTTTCAGGGCTTGATTTTATTATTGTGAATCGGTAGCTTTGTGTTGAACACAAACTTTCCATGCTGGTCTTCATGCAATACAGTAGTCCCTCGCTAATTGACGTTTCGACTTTCGCAGACTCAGTTTCACGGGTTTTCAATGCAAGATTGTACACGACACGATTGGCTGATCGTAGCATCAGTCTGTCTGCTCTCCTTCACTGTGCTCTTTTGTGAAATTTTCACAAGAGACTGAATTTATTTCAAGCCCTACAATAGCACCCAAACATTCTGCATCGGAGAAAGACGCTTAGCATAAAAGAGAAGGTGGAGCTTCTTGACAGGTTGAAACTGCACAGCTAATTTATCATCTTCCTCCAAGTTGTAGTGGCATTTCACTGGCGAGTACCCATATAAAATTTTGCAGTACTGTACATATATGCATGTTGTTAAAATTATGTAGGTTTGAGGGTTTTGAACATTGCAAGAGCGTGGGAAGTGTTTATAAAGCCTTAAAAAATATATACAAATACTAAAATAAATATAACGTCCCTACTTTGCGGATTTTCACCTATCACGGGGGTGTCTGGAATGTAACCCCCGCGATAAGTGCGGGAACAGTTCATAAAGGCGAAAAATAACCTTGTGCTCCGATACTTTAATTCACGCAAAGGTTAAGGTTAAAGTTTCGAAGAAAAACAAAAACATTTTTCTGATCTTATACACAGCTCTGATAACATGCATTGATTTATAAGTGAACGAAAACCTCAAGACAAACCGTCAAGCTCAAAATATTTATTTCTCTCAACATACAGTTTGTGATAAGAGTGCAGCAGGACAAGGTGAGGTGAACAGGCAAAAGAAATCCCACACAATTTAAATACAAGCCGGCGATAAACGGAGCATATTCATCAAGAGGCAACTGCTTCCAAACAAGTCAGATGTGCAGAGGACAAGGTGTTAGGGCTTCTCTTCTGTTCATTTCAGTTTCCCGTTTGATCGTTGCATCCACACGAATATGCCAGCAATCACTGTTTTCCTCCTCTGCTCTCCATGAGTGAGCAGCCAGGAAAAGAGGAACGTACCAGACACAAGTGACAGAGAACAGAAATCTCTTACTATTGGAAATATTTCACCAAAGCAGAAGACTCTGCGTAATATCCTATAAAAATCCAATTCAAACCGAATTGATGGAATAATATACATTAAAACCACCCTTTCTCCGCCAATATAGCAGTCCAAAAAAACAAAGTACAAATACAAGCTACAAGAAAACTATACAATTCACAGCTTTGGCAGGACTGGGGTGCAGCAGCGTTTTAAAAGTGTTGTGAGGATGTGACATTTTGAACCTTAATACTAGTACTGTTTCTTTGCTTTGTGGAACATGAAATATTGGCCATGCTTGTTGGGATATGAAATGTACAGGATGGTAAAACCCATTATATACAGTGTCAGAACTCCAACCATGGACTAAATGGAGATAATACGTTGTGCAAATCTCTCACGTCGAGTTTCATTGTAGTTTTTAAACTTTACTGAAAAGAAATGCAAAACAGTTAGGCTGTCGTTGAAAACAACCTATAAAACCAACACATCAATCTTCATACAAGGAAATAACACTGCTTTTTAAACATCTTCATTATTATGAAGGGATGTTAAGTCTTTTGTACCATCAGATGGGAATAAAACACCTAACTGTACAGTGATATCACCTTGTCAAATAGCAGCATTAAAAAATTAAACATCAAATCATGTAATAAGTTAAGAACGTCCCATTTACCTGGTGATTGCACTAAACATTTTATATGTAGTATAAACTGACTACAAGCCATGTTGAATGAACATTTAGACGTAGTAAATTCAGAGTACGTTGGGTTGTTTACAGTAAATATACTTTGCCTGGTAATTTCTAACTGTTCCTAACATTTTCGCTTGTTCTTGTTGCACACTTCAGAAGGTAAGGCTTGTGCCAAGGCCACAGTCAAAGCTTTGTGGAAAAGAGGGGTAAATTGCACTTATATGCCTCAAGCTTTCACATTTTATTTGCTACATTCTGATCAGAACCCTACCAGAGGCATCTACCATAAAAAGTTTAACTATGTACAGTAAGTATGGCTCTGGACACCACTTTTCCTCTGCAACATGCCAGCTCTTGTGCTTCCAATGATGTTCAATCAAAAAGGAGGCTTTGTCCAGCTATTTGACCTGAATGCGTGTATTTTGACTGCTGGTATGTAATCGATCCAGGAACCCAGGCAGTCATAAATTAAATTGTTTCTGCAAGACATCAGAACATCTCTTCTCTATGGCATTCCAACTGTCAAAGGGGTTAAAACAGTAAACCAGAGGTGAAACAAAACCATAATAATTAAGTATATACTGTGGTAATAGTGCAGTTCTTGAAGGGCATTATGTAAACCTAAATTATCTATATGCATTATAAACAAAAATTGTACTCAAGCTACCTTCAAACTAAAATAACTTGAATGTAGAAATGCTCCATCTCAAGAAGAAAAAATATATATATTAAAAAAAAAGAAAAAAAAAATCTATGTTCAAGGCACAACATTCTCGCAAATATTTTCTTTGTAAATACTGTCCCATTACTGAATCTTAAGCTACTGGTGTTTGGATTCTAATGTAGTATTTCAACTAAACAAAAAGGCAAAAAAAGGCTGAAATTTGTTTTTGACCGCAGATAAAATATCTTATGGCCGAGTTTAGTTAAGAACAAAGCCAAACAGCATAATGTATTCAGATAGACCTAACATGTACGGTATAGTATACATACATACACACAATTTACAACAGATGTGTTGTTAAAAGAAAACCAACACTTGGGTATGTTCTGTACAAGATCAGATTATATACATCTGTGGCTCTTATGAACAGTGTAAAGCAAAGAGACTGTCCTGAAGACACCAACACATTTCATTTAGCAGGTCAGGTAGTCCTAGCAGTTTTTGGAGAGGGGCTGGTCTCAGGGTTGTGCATGACAAAAGGCAAGGCTTGGATCCCTGGGTTTGCCATTGTGCTGTACGGCATCACTCTTGGAGTGCCAAGCATCCCTACAGGAACCACAGAGCCTACTTGACTAGTCACGCCAGACCACTGTTGTGGATAAAGAGAACTGGAAGCTATCCTACCATAGGAGCCTGCTGGTACAAAAAAACCAGCAGGGAGCACCGTGGAGTTCGGTGCTAGGGCTGCAGGCATACCAGGGCCTAAACCTGTAATCACTGGGCATGGGAGCGGTGGCTGGAACTTGTTGGAAACAACATGACATTTCATCTGGAATGAAAAGGAGTTGTTGTAGAAAACTGTGCAAAGACTGACTCAAATATTGAAAACAAGACAATTTATTAAGGCTTTTATACACCAAATCAGTAAATGAAACTGATGACAAAATACCTCTTCCTGTGCTCATTCACATCTAAGCAATACACAAAGACTCCATCAAACTGCCTACCTTTGAAGGGGAAAGAAGACATAAATTTGCCGTATACACAAATAAATTAGTAATCAAAATTTTATTCAAAAATATAAAAATAGGTAAACAATTCAGTGTTTGTAAACAGGCCACTGTTTACAAACAGTATTTTACAGTACAAGATTTGAGTCCCCTACAGTTGTAGCCCAGTGAGATACTATCTTAATGAATGGGTTTGCACCCATTGTAACTTCCTCTACAACCTTTTGTCAGCTTGGTGTATAAAGGCCCCAATAAAAGGCTCTTATCACTTATTAAATTCAATTACCTCACATGCACCTGCTCCCATCAATGGCGGTCTGCCTTCGAAGCTTTGCAGGCACCTCTGCTGTTTCATCTGGTTCAGGGAGGGTCGCAGCTGACTGGCTGCTGCGACTGTCTCTTTTGTCCAGTCATCTACCAGTTTGTGAAGATCCTCAGTAAACATGCCTCTCTTGTTGTTGCTGTTGTTGGTCTGAACCTGAGCGAGCCTCGTTAACGTCTGGGGAGAGTGTGACATTGCTGCTGCAGTGATTGATGGCTGCATTTGACTGGAAGTTGTCCGTGCTGCAGTGGTGTTGAGAGGGGACCCTGAAAAAAAAGGCAAATAAAAGTCTTAAACATCTTAAAAAATGTTGAAACCTGTCAAATCAATTGGCTGCAGTATGGCAGAATTTGAGGCAGTTAAGACAAAAATGAACCTATAGCACGGTCACAAAAGCTTTTTGGAAAGGCCAGACTGAATGTGCATAAAACCACATCAGACATATTTTGCCAACCTAGCAGCCAAAGGATTACAACACGGATGACTTCAAAAGAAACCACAAAAAAAAAAGAAAGAAATGTCTGATTTGCAAGCAGTGCAATACAAAATAAAAACTGTTGCCATGCAAAACAAAAAAGTGCAATGATCTGTAGTTTTAGTGCCTAGGTCTTAAACACATACGTAGTACCAGATCTTCAAGTGCCAAACAATAAGAACAGAAGTGTACATATATACAGAGGTAGTACTAAGGTTGTGAGGATAGAGCAAGAAATACAAAGAAAGAAAGTAAATAAGATAGTTACTACTACTGCGCTCTTTGCCTAGACATAGTCGTTTCAGAGTGGACCCTATAAAAAGGTAAAACAGCACAAGACAGAAACAGTTAGGCCAGGACAAACTGCACACCACAAGAATGTGGACAAGCTGCTTCAAAAGCACATTCAGTAATTAAAACAAGTAGGGAGAAAAAGGAGAAAATGTGTTTGTATGTAAATCTGTAAGACTGCAAGAAAAGAGGAAAAGCCTCCTTTTAGGACTGGGTAATCATTTACAAACACTGGCTACTAATAAGTCCATCCATCCAGCCATTACTTTCCACATGTTATGGACTCGGGTCGCAGTGGCAGCAGCTAGAGCAGGGAGGCACAGACATCTTTCCCCCTCCACCTCTTCTGGGAGGACCTCAAGGTATTTCCAGGCCAGCCAAGAGACAGTCTATCCAGCTTATCCTTGGTCTTCCCAGTCAGACATGCACGAAGTACCTCCTTAGGAAGGTGCCTCAACTTGCTCTTCTTGATGTGGAGGAGCTCTACTCAGAGTGTCTCCCAGATAACTGAACTTCTCACCCTATTTCTAAGGGATAGTCCAGCTACTCTGCAGAGAAAACTCACTTTGACCACCTGTATCCGCAATCTTGTTCTTTCGGTCACTACCCCAAATTTGTGGCCATAGATGAGGGTAGGAATGTAGACCGCCCAGTAAACAGAGCTCTGCATTACAGCTCAGCTCCCTTTTCACCTAAATGGGCTGGTAGAGTCCGCAATACTGCAGATGCTACATTGGTCCATCTGTCAGTCTCCCACTCCATTCTACCCTCACCCGTGAACAAAACCCCAAGATACTTTAACTCCTCCACTTCAGGTGGAATCTCACTCCCAAACCAGAAAGGGCAATCCACCCTTTTCTGACTCAAGATCATGGCCTCAGATTTGGAAGTGCTGATTCTCATCCCAGCCACTTCACACACTGCTGCAAACCGCTCCAGTGAGAGGTGAAGATCATGGCACGATGAAGCCAAGAAGACCACATAATCTGCAAAAAAGATGGAATCCTGAGGTCACTGAAACAAACTCTCTCTGCCATCTGGCTACACAGAGAAATTCTGTCCATGAAAGTTATGAACAAAATCTGTGACAATAGGTAGACCTGGTAGAGTTCAACTTCCACCCTGAAGGGGTCCAACTTATTGACGGCAATGTGAACCAAACTGTCGCACTGCTTGTATAGGGCCCGAATGGCCCGTAATAGCAGGCCCCTGTGAGGGACCAGACTCCAATGAGGACAAAAAAGTGTTCAAAGTAGAAAAAAGGTTTCAGTTTTAATTCTTCCAAAAAATAGTTAACAAAGCCTAAAAACTTAAGGCAAGAATAAATCAAAAAGTAAGTAACAAATTTGGATCCAAACTGACTAAAGTCAACTGAACTCTAACTGAACACAAAAAAAACCTCCTCTTCAAACAAACAAAAGGCTGCTTAAATAGAGGTGGAGTAACCCAAGTCTACCACATGAGGGAGGCACAACATGACAAAGAACAAATAAATACAAAATTAACTAAAGCATCCTATGAAACAAATAAAGCAAAACTAACTTTAACTTAGCACAAACAATAAGTGAATATTTAAGTGACAAAATTAACTATTGAGATCAACTTGAAACAAGTCTCCCCCTTCAGTCTTTCAGAAAATGGTTTGCTCCAGGTTTCCTCCTCCAGCTGGTTTATATCAGCAGCACCTCAAACAAAAAACAAGTGTAAGTAAACCATTCAGACAGACATTAACTAAATGAAATGACCAACTTAAACAGACTATAAGCTGTAACTAATATGAAGAAAAAATAGATACTAACACGATGTGGTGGTGGTAGGAGCATCCACCACAGCCCCCAATCCCATACTCGGGGAGCACCTCCCACAGTGTACCCACAGTCGAAAACCTTTTCCAAGTCCACAAAAGACATATAGACTGGAGGGGCAAACTCCTATGGCCCCTTGAGGACCCTAGTGAGGGTAAAGAGCTGGTCAAGTGTTCCATGGCCAAGATAAAACTCGCATTGTTCCTTCAAGGTCTGACCATCAATCCAACTTGCTTCTCCAGTACCCCTGATTGCACCTTGCCAGAGAGGCTAAAGAGAGAGATGCCCCATAATTGCAATACATTCTCCACTCCCCCTTTTTGAAGAGGGAAACCATAACTACAGTCTGCCAATCCAGTGACCCTACCCCAGATGTCCACGCGATGTTGCAAAGGTGTGTCAACCAAGACAGCCATGCAACATCCAGAGCCTTGAGGAACTCGATGTGGATTTCATCCAACCCCATAGCCTTGTCACCATGGAGATTTTTAATTACCTCTGCAACCTCAGCCCCAGTTACAGATAGGCCAATGCAAAAATCCCCCAACTCAGCTTCCTCCAAGGAAGATGTGTCAGTGGGATTGTGAAGGTCCGAGAAGTATTCCTTCCACCTTCTGACAACATGATTGGTTGAGGTCAACAGCACCCCACCCTCACTAAACACAGTGCTGGTCCAATGCCGCTTTCCCCACTTCAGCCACCTGATGGTTTGCCAGAATCTCCTTGGAACTCTTCAATAGCCTATCCAAGTTCTCACCGAACTACTGCCACATCCGAGCTTTTGCCTCTGCAATAGCCAGGCCTGCCAATATTCATCAGCTGCCTCCAGAGTCATACTAGCCAAAAAGGCCCAATAGGATTAATTTTTCAGCTCGACAGCCTCCCTAAACCGGGTTGTCCACCAGAGTTCAAGGGTGGCCACCGTGAGAAGTAGTTGAAGGTCTCTCAGAGATGTGAGTTACAAATATTTTCGATGGGTTCTTCTGCCAGGCTATCCCAGCAAACCTTCACTATATGTTTGGGTCTACCGGGTCTGTCCAGTATCTTCCCCTGCCATCTGATCTAACACACCACCAGGTGGTGTTCAGCTGACAGCTCAGCTCCTCTATTCACCAAAGTGTCTAAAACATAGGGCCGCAGATCAGATGACATAACTATAGTCAATCATTGATCTGTGGCCTAGGGTGTCTTAGTGTCATGTGCATGTATTTATTTACATTTTTATGTTTGAACATGAATTTGTGATGGACAAACCATGACTAGCACAGATGTTCAACAACGGAACACCACTTGGGTTCAGATCAAACCCATTTTGCTCATTCAGGCTGAGCCCGACCAGGCCTCAAGGATAGAGACCCAGTCGCTTGCCAACAAGCACCTCCTCCTGGCCTGGCTCCACTGTTGGGCGCAGGTGACCCACATACAGTCAAGAGACAGTGAGCTCCTTGATGTTTTCGGTCCATATTAGTCTTTGGTATTGCTTTTTGTCTGACCCATCACCTAGGACCAATCTGACTTGGGAGACCCTACCAGAGGCAATTGCTCCCGACAGCATAGCTCCTAGGATTATTCAGGCACTCAAACTCCACCACAATAAGGAGGCAATTCAAGGAGGAGTGTACCTGATAAACATTAATAAAACACATTTTGCTTTTAATTGTGGTGTAATGGCATCAAACTTCTGCTCATCGTTAGGATGAAGTAATATTTGGATGAATGTGTAACTGTATGACAGTGCTTTCTGTGTTTATTGGTTGGTAATGTTTTGTATGAATACCGGTAAGTGGTTTAATAATTGTCAAGCAAAAAGTGGAAGAGAAAAATAACTTTTCTAAGAAAGACTGTTAAAAACAAGATTACTATCCATGTGAGAAAGCCTGTAAAACAAATGTGTGAAATCTAAACAAAGTTTCACAAACTAAACGAGCACACAGACACTTGCAGGAACTTTTTTGAGTTGGCACTAATAAACATGCAAGTAACTCAGGAGAAGTCAAGAAAAAAACATTAAAAAAAACAAAAGTGATATTGATGATACAGCCCTTCATATGTTGAAGCATGTCTCCATCAGAGCACTGTTTGGCGTCTGCGTCATGCACGTCTTCTCCATCCAAACATGAGGAACAGAGAGAGTAAAGGGCCCAGTGAACTGTTGAGGGGTTTCCTCTGTATACACAGGACTGCAGCCTTGGCAACAGCCCTTTACATAAGGGATGTTGTACAATAGAAATTAACAGAGGATGGAAATAAACAAATTAATAGGCTATAAAGACGGGCATTTTCTCCCACACATGTACACACACTTGTAAAAACAACTCCACTGTCTTGTTTTAGTTCTGACCCTAAGCCCATGTTTGGACAGGACTTGCAGTCCACAAGCTAAAGTGTACTTGTGGTGTCTATGTTTTTAAGCGAAAAGCACTGCGTTAAGCAAGAGTATGAGGAGGAGGTGGCAATGTATCCACAGATTAATGGATATGAATGGCAATCATCTGCAGTTCAAAGAACAGTAGTTGAAAAGGGAAAAAATTGCATACAGCAACTAATTACAATTTATTGGCTATTAAAGACAAGTTTGATTAGCAGTGCAGCTTAAAAGTGTTTACTTAATTTTGATTTGATTCTGATTACCCAACTAAATGTCTGAGAGGTAGAATTACTAGTAAAATGTGAGTGATTTTGTAAAGTGTCATTGGAGATGCACTGTGGTGACTGAGCTTATGCTGCAAGACTGTTCTGATGGAAAAAGCCTATATAAATCTACTGAAGTTCATATAAAGCAGTAGGGAAGTTGCCACATATGTATGTGAATGCAAAACCT